GAACAACACAACCAACAGCCACTGAAGTAATAATTCCCAAACTGTGGTCCACAAGGGACTTTTCATAAAATTCTATTCATAAAAATACAGCTCAAAGTTCCCGCCTGAGGCTAACTGCTGCATCTCTGCACCAGTTGTTGTCACTTTGGTCTTGCCTCTTGCCAACCAACCTCTGCTGGAGGTGAATAACTCTGTCATCCCCTCAGAAATGGTTGGCAATGCAGAGATTCAGCAGGACATGCTCTCTTTAGCAGAATGAGGACTTATACAGAAACACGGTTGATAGACTCAGAAGGTGGGTCATTCTTAAGCATCCTCACGGTAAAGCTCTGCAGATATAATTCCCCCCCCCCAAAAAAAGATGCATCAGCTATCAGAAGTTTGGGAAACAATGAAAGGGACTAAGGATGTCCTGCCCTAACCTAGATGGCCCTGGCTAGCACAATCTCATCAGATCTCAGAAGCTAAGAAGAGTCAGTCCTGGGTTGCTATGCAGAGAAAGGCAGTGGCAAACCACCTCTGTACGTCTCGCGCCTTGAAAACCCTGTGGGGTCTCTGCAGGTCAACGGTGACTTGACAGCACTTTCCAACACCAAAGATGCCTTCTCTAGTCAATCTCAATCCTTTCCAATGCATGCCTAAAACCAAATTTTGCTGAGAGAGGAATGGGGCATTCATGGCCAGCTTGCCACAAGTGGATTGTCCATGAGGTCGTGGGCACAAAATAGGACTTAGCACAGCCCATTCGTGCAGAGGGTTTTTTTTAACCCATAGATTCATTTCCCCAGCAATATGCTTTTTTAAAAAAAGTATGATGGCATTATAATTATTTTAGTCTGAAATGTCCAATTGCAAAATTGTCAATTTTCATTCTCTCAATTCACCTTGGAAGGTTTCTTTTAAGACATGTTAAACCTTGCTAGTATATCTTCAAGGCAATAAATAATATTAATGATGAAGTTGACAATTGTTGCATGTTGCTGGGGAAGGTGGGTTTCCCATAAAGAGCAATAGCAACAACATTGTAGGGGTTTTTTTTTGGGGGGGGGATCGCTATTTTTGCAAGAAAATTTCAGTTAAGCCTAGCTCATCACCTGTGCTCAGAAGTTCAACATTCTAGCCTTTCCCTTGGAATGCCTAACCCGTTATAGGGAGAATTAGAAAAATGTGACTATCCGGCAGTGGCTTCTGTCTATCGGAGTGGTTTGCAAATCTTGCTGGGGAGGGAAGAAGCAGCTGGTTAAAAACATACATTTGATTTCATGCAAAGAAAAAAAGGAAGATATTTTGCAGGGGAAAGTGACTGAAGCGCTGTCCACAGAGGCAGCAGAACTCTCCAGTGCTTCCAAAGATCTGCTTCATCCAAGTTCCAACCAGGAGAAGAGATCCTGAGATTCCTGGCCTATCAGACTGCCTGATTTCTCTCTCTCTCTCTACACACACATATATATACATATATGTATATGTGTGTATAGCTGTCAAGTCACAGCTGACTTTTATGACCCCGTAGGATTTTCAAGGCAAAAGACATTCAGAGGTGGTTTGCCGTTGCCTGGCTCTGCATCATGACTCTGGTATTCCTTGGAGGTCTCACACCCAAATACTAGCCAGGGCCAACCCCAGTTAGTTTCCGAGATCTGGTGAGATCGGGCTAGCCTGTGTCATGCAGGTCAGGGTAATTTCAAAGATACCCTCCCCCAAAAAAAAATTCCAAGGAGGGCTGGCAACAGAACACAGGGAGTGGCTTATGCACTAGGCTGCCAAAAGGACTAGTATGGATCACCTGCATCACTGGAAGAGTGCCTAAAAGACAACACTTGGAAAATTCACACTGTTTGGATGGTAAACCTCCCCCCCTACAAATCCAGGCACAGGGGGAAGGTCTGTCTGCCTGCACTGGTGTTGGGATTCTTTTTGAGTAAGTCAGGAGAGTATTAAGAGACTGAGTCCATGGTGTGTATTAAAAATATAAACGTTTCCTATAAACCTAACATGGGAAAAAGGTACACAGGATATAAAATAACAAAGAGCTAATATGTCTACATCCTTACAGCTAGAAGGTAAAACGGGAAGCGACGAATGGCGTCTCCTTCTCTAGTCAGAACAAAGAACGGGAGGAGAAGCCAATATGCTAAATACTTGACACCTTGGTTTCCAATCAGACTAGCAAATTAGCTCCAAAGTTCCCGGGCATTCTGTTGTCTAAACAGATTGGTTACAAACGAACATGTGACTTAATAAACATCATTTTTTTTCTTTATTTTATTTAAAAATATGAAAAATTTACATTAAAAATAACTTCAACAATCCCCCGGGTTCCCCTCACCCCCCCATAATTAAAAAAAGGTTCATATAAACTACTTTATAAAACAACGGTCTAACTCAATAAATTACTATAACTACACTCTACAGAACAGACTGTAGACCTAACATGAGGCTAATCAGAGATTTATCAGGTCCAAATTATCGGCCGTAGCAGGAATCACAGCTTGCGACTTCAGGTAGTCTAGGATTGGTGCCCAAGACTTAATAAACATCATTAACCCTGTAAGGTACTGAAGTGTTTTGACTTGTAACACCCAACAACTGGCCACCCCCAGTCCATGCAGCATAGCCAGATGTTTAGTGTCAGCCTATAGAAACCCAAGTTCAAATCCTCACCATTGGTAGGCACGGGAGTTTGGGCTAGTCATTCTCAGCCTGCTCTACCTTACAAGGTTGTTGTGAGGTGAAAATGGAAGACAGGAGAACCACAAGTGCCACTCTAAGGTCCTTGGAAAAAGGGCAAGACAAAAATGTGAGATCTAGACTGAGATCTCAGAAGCTAAGCAGGGTCAGTCCTGGTTAGTATTTGGATGGGAGACCACCAAGGAAGTCCAGGGTCATTATGCAAAGGCAGGTAATGGCAAACCACCTCTGAACGTCTCTTTCCTTGAAAACCCTACTTGATGGCACTTTCCACCACCAGAAGGATAGATATATGGGGGGGCTTGCCCCTCTGCCTGCAGGTATATGAGAGAAGGAGAAGCTCTTTGCACAGGGCCCAGGAGACAGCCAGCACAGCTGACCTTTAAACAAACCATAATAATAACGCTTAGCATGTTTATAGTGCTTCTGGAGTGTTCAAAGCGCTTCACGTCCACTCTCTCTGGCCTCCTCACAACGCCTTTCTAAAAGAAGCAGGCGTGTAGCAGTTTGCAGGAGCTCAGGGCAGTATGCCTGGCTCTCCCTTCCTCGTGCTATCATCACAATAGCCCTGTGAGGTAGATCAATGGTTCCCAACATTTTGGTATGGTGACATCCATGTCCATAGTCGCTTGGTATGGTGACCCACTTTAAAAAAAAGAGCATGCACAAAGCAACAAAACTGCTAAAACCTGGGATTCATAGGCTTCATGACCCAGTTTTAGGTCGGGACCCACAGGTTGGGACACACCGAGAGAGATAATGGGGGAAAGGAGAGCCATGTGTGCCACTCTAAACTCCTCAAACCAAAGGAAGCATAAACACGCAATAGTGAGATTACATTCCTCTCTGCCCTGTCCTCCCTCTAACTGAACTCAGGTTTTGCAGCAGGACGTTATTTCCATTTCTAGATTGTCAGTTCTGCTGCTGTTTGGAGGACGCTCCCAGTGCAATCCTGTGCAGAGTTTTTCTCCAGTCTTAGCCGATTGACATGAATGGGTTTAGGCCGAAGTAATTCCGCACAGGGTTGCATTCTCTGTGCTCCGTCTGGTGCACGCTTACTCAGATGTCAGCCACACGGGGTTCAAAGAGACTTGGTGATGGTGAAGGAAAGTGCTGTCAAGTCACAGCCAGTGTTCCCTCTAAGCTGAGTTAGTGTGAGCTAGCTCACAGTTTTTTAGCCTCCGGCTCACAGATTTTTGTCTTAGCTCAGGAAGGAGGGCTTCAGAGCAAACTAATTCATGCAGCAGCCAAATCACTCGCTCACAACTTTAATGCCAGGAGCTCACCAAGTAGAATTTTTGCTCATAGGACTCCACAGCTTAGAGGGAGCCTTGGAGCTGACAGTGACCCTATAGAGTTGTCAAGGCAGGAAACATTCAGAGGTGGTTCGCCATTGCCTGCCTCCGCACAGCGGCCCTGGGCTTCCTTGGCGGTCTGGTCTCCCATCCATGTGCTAAGGAGCGCTAACCCTGCTCAGTTTCCAAGATCTAACGAGATCAGGCTTGCCTTGACCATCCAGGGTAGGACTCACAGAGACTTCGGCTCAGTTAAAAGGTGCATCAGACTGCAGCTTCAGCACACAGCCCATCTCTGGATTGTTACTGATGCTAATGAGGCTGTGGTTTTATGTTCCCGACCAGCAGAACATGGCTTCATCTGATAGTTCCCAGAGATGTAAGCACTCAGTCATGAATGAAATACCAGGCCAGGGTCACCCCAGATCCTTCTCAAGCACCTGGCACAGAATCTAATTCAATTTAAATGAAGTAATTTTGAGCATGTCTGACATAAATTAGATTGTTTTGCTGCTTCCAGCTGACTTACAGCAGCAGCACCCCCCCCACACACACACACACAGAAATAAGTTTCTGGCTTAGAAGCCTCTCTGGCTCCCTTTACGCAGACTGCATTGGCACGACCATGACAAGAAAGGCATTCTGCACATGCTCCGGGTCTCTTGCCATTGCAATGACGATTTTTGCCCTCTGCCAGCGCCGGCGTTGCTGGGTCGAAGCCGGTTTCTCAGGGCGATGCGTTGCACCCTCTCCCTCCTGCCCCAGCGCGGCCTCTGCGGGCCAACCCGGGCAAGGGCCTGGCCGCCTCGGGGGCTGGAGTACCAGGTGGTGCAGGCGGGAGGCTCGGCGACGGCATCGTAGCCGCGTCGAGGCAGCGGGGAAGCGGCGCCACAGAACCCCGTCGCCCTCCCAAGTACTCCGCCCGTCCTTCGAAGGGCGCGCGTCTCCCTCCCGCGGAGCGCACCAGGCCGATCCCGGCGGCTCCGGAGTCACTCCGGTTCCTGCCCATCCCCTTACCCTCGCCCAGCGTTTGGCGGAGCTCCTGGCCGCGGCTTCCTCCGCCGCGTCGCCGGCGAGGTTCCTCCGGCGCCGCCGGAATAGGACAGCCGACCGAGGCTGCGGACAGACAGGCGGGTAGGGCGCTCATGTGATCGGCGGAAGGCAGGGCGGGCGGAAGGCAGGGCGGGCGGGGGAGCAGCCGGCCCCGCAGCCCGGGACGGAGAGCAGCGTCGGTAGCGCGCCTGGCCCAGTGGGGCATGTGCAAAGTGCGGAGCGTCTCCCGCTTGGGACATCTACGCCCAGTGCCCCCTCCCCCGGGCATGTGCAGAGTGCAGAAGTGCAGACTTCTGAGTGGGCCCGTGGCTTTACATTTCTGTAACTGAAAGTGTTCTTGGGCATGTGCAAAGCGCATACTGTATCCTCTGAGCCAAGCTGAGGTTCAGAAATAAGCAGTTAGTGCCTCGGGGCATGCACAGTATATATAGAACAGAGAGCACCTCTGGCCATGTTCAGAGTGTAGAATATAAACCAGGAATAGCCACTGATGGAGCAGAGGTCCATCAGTGGCTATTAGCCACGAGGTATAGATAGGAACTCTCCCTCTGGAGCAAGTGATTCACTGTATTCTCGGTGCTTGGGGGGGCAACAGTGGGAGGGCTTCTAGTGTCCTGGCCCCACTGATGGACCTCCTGATGGCACCTGGTATTTTTGGCCACCGTGTGACAGAGTGTTGGACTGGATGGGCCATTGGCCTGATCCAGCATTGGCTTCTCTTATGTTCTTAGGAACCAACTTCACTAATCATCAGCAAACAGTACCTCTGAGCTTATGCAGAATGCATCCGCTGAGGTGGCTCCCAATTTGTAAGGAAGGAGGAAGAGCCTTTGGCCTCTGCACAGTCCCCCAGATTCAGAAATCTCCACAACTGGGTGCCTCTAGGCATGTACAGAGTGTGGTGCTTCCTTTAAACCAGTTCCTGGTTTCAGAAGTATGATGAATAGTGTGGAAGGAGGCAAATGCTGTCCTAGGTATATGCAAAAGACTGCCCTTAAATCTGAACTCAGGGCTAGATACACACAACCATTCGTTTTTAGCAGTGCATCAGGTTGGTGGGTGCAGTGCTGCTATTGTTTACTAATAATCCTTAGCACTTGCATAGTTCTTACACATATTTGTTGGGGGGTGGCTGTGGCAAAGTGGTAAAGCATCTGCTTGGCATGCAGATTAGGTCCCAGGTTCAATCTCCAGTTAAAGAGGTCTGGCAATAGGTGATATGAAAGACTTCTGCGTGAGACCCTGGAGAGCCGCTGCCAGTCCAAGCAGACAATCCTGATTTTGATGGACCAAACGTCTGATTCAGTATAAGGCAGTTTCATGTGTTCATATATTTCACAGGCATTATCTCTTAGTCCTTCTTACAACAGGCCTGGAAGGCAAGCTAGTATTATTGCAGATAAGTAGGGGGCTGGCTCTCAGTGGTTAGAGTGTGTAGTGGCAGAGGCAAAATTTAAATCACAGACTTCCTAAGGCATGGATAAAACCCTGAGCCACTGAGCTGTAACAGCTCAGAAACAATGGTGTATAAAGGGGGTGGGATTACCGGCTGTAGGCACTGCCAGCATGAATTATAAATGGACCATTTTTATATGGACCCAGGAATCCTACAATGCTCTGTTCATGTGTGTGTGTGTGTGTTCTGATGTGCATGTTTAGTTTTAATTCTTAAATTGTTTATGTTTGTCTATTTATGTTGTAATCCACTCTGAGCCCCATGATTGGGGGGGGGGGGACAACGGAATTGAAACGGAACAAAAAATAAATAATAAAGGTATCAAGTTGCAGCCAGATAGTGGCAACCCCTCATGGGGTTTCCAAGTCCAGAGATTAACAGAGGTGGTTTGCCATTGCCTTCTAACGCTATAGCAATCCTGGTCTTCCTTGGTGGTCTCCCATCCAAGTACCAACCAGGACCAATCCCACTTAGGTATAATTAACTCATTGGCTTCAGGGAAGTCACCTGGGGAAGACCTGATTCCGTCAGACTTTTACAAAGCTTTTCCCACATGGTGGTCATCCGTGCTAGCTACGGTTTTCACACAAATTAATGGCACTGGTTTAATCCCTCCTGGTTGGAAGTTAAGTATTATTGTCCCCATTCACAAGAAAGGGGACAAAACAGACCCACGGAACTACAGACCAATAAGCCTGATAGATATAGCAGCTAAGGTTTATAGTAAATACCTGTTGTTCAAGTTGGATGCCTGGGTCTTTGAGAATCACATCATCCACCCCCATCAAGCAGGGTTTAGGAAAGGTCTTTCTACAATTGATCACTGCCTTACTCTTCACCAGCTGGCTTATGCAAGCTTAAATGGTCCCACTAAGTCTTTATACGTAACATTTGTAGACTTGGCTGCGGCGTTTGATTCCATCGATAGGAATAGCCTTTGGCAAAAATTGGCAGATCTGAATATTGATAAGCGGTTGTTATTCTTATTACGTGAACTACACACAGATATTAGTGCCCAGATTAGAGTGGGAACATCGGGGTCTCTAACTAACAAAATTCCAATCCATAAAGGAGTGAAACAGGGGTGTGTGCTGGCCCCTTTATTGTTTAACTTGTATATAAACAAAATTGTTGACAGGCTATCAGGTCCGCAATTCTTCCCACCTACCCTTGGGAAGCATAAAATTTCAATTTTACTTTATGCGGATGATATGGCCCTAATATCACTTACAAAAATCGGGATGAGAAGATTATTGCAGCAATTGGGAATGTACTGTAAGGAAGAGACCCTTAACATTAACTTTGATAAAACCAAAGTGATGGTCTTTAGAAAAAGAGCTCAAATTTCCTCCTGGAGCATTCTTGGCAATTCAATAAATCAGAGTAGTACCTTTAAGTATTTAGGGATTACATTTAGAGAGAATCTGAACTGGAACGCTCATATAGCCATAGTAAAAGCATCTGCGACGAGGATTGTGGGATCCATTTTGAAGTTCTATTATACCAAGGGAGGTTTTCTTATTGATCCTGTTATAAAATTATTTAAAAGTAAGGTCATTCCCCACCTCTTGTATGGTGCCGAGGTTTGGGGATGGAAAGAGGATATACTCACTAGTATTGAAACAATCCAAAATCAGTTTTTAAGGCGCATCCTGGCTCTTCCTAAGGGAACACCAGTTGCCCTGATGAGAGCAGAAACTGGTCTGCCTTCTCTAAGGGCGAGGGTGTATCTTGCGATTCTAAAATCTTGGAAGAAAATCAGAGCTGCTAGCACTGATTCGTTCAGCCAACTGGCCTTTAATTCAATGCTATCTAAAGACTTAGATCGTTCTTGCTTCCTCAATAACCTACTACTAAGATATTCCATTCCTGACGACCTCCTTAGCTCCTCAACAAATAACTTAGATCTCAGAGAATGGGTATTTAAGCATGATGCTCTGCTAGATAGACACTTCATTTTAAAAACACAGTCTGCTACCTGGTTTAAATCATTTAAGAATGATCATTTTAGATCACCTTATCTGGTTAATATAGATAATCATAACCTTAGAGCAGCTTTTACATCTTTGCGCTTTGAATCAATGCCTACGGCCGTGTTGGTCGGCCGTTACAACAGAACACCCAAGGCACAGCGTTTATGTATTTGTGGCTCTTCTGCTGTTGAGGATCTCTCCCATTACATTTTTAATTGCTCATTGTACTCCCAGCCTAGGTCAAAATTTTTATCTGGTATTTTATCAGTTTTAAGCTTTTATTCAGTCTCAGAGAAGATTATATTTTTGCTAGCCGATGCCAATGCTGATGTATCCCATAGAATGGCTTTATTTGCCTTGGCTGCAAGGAAAATACGGGCCAACGCTGCTCCTAGCTAATACTGATTTTAGTGGGTATGTTGTGAATTAATTAACTGTTCATAACCTCGGTTTTAATTGTTCATAACCTCGGTTTTAACTGTTCATAACCTCGGTTTTATGGATTTATAATGTTGGACTGTATCTTATTTTATACAATTTTTGTGTTTTATTGTGCTCTTCTCTGTCTGTGGTTTGTAATGGCCTATGGCTAAATACAATAAAATCTTCTCTCTCTCTCACTTAGCAGCCAATCTCTGACAAGATTGGGTTAGCCAGGGCTAACCAGGTCAGAGTATTCTACTAGGAGATTGAAGTTTTTTGCATTTTACTCTCTCTGTGCATCCTAAACTAAGTAGTTGGTAGGTATATGTCTTGCTGGGAAAGCCAATAATTAAAGGAGCAACTTCAGAGCCAGAAAAGAAGTGTCCCTATAACTGAGCTGCCATAGTCTGTTTTACAAAATTCTGGCCACCTGGCATCTCAAGTCTAGCAAATTATCATGACCTGCAAATAGACTGGGGTCTTACAAAGCTTGCTGACTAGCTTGAGATGTTTTGCAGACTCATCTCCCTTGAACTGCAAGGGAAACAGGAAAGGCCAGTGCAAGAGGTGAAACAGAGAGATTGGAAAGGCAGGCGAGAGATGGCCTTCGAACTTGTGTGTCTCCCACCCGTAGAAATCCCAGATGAGGAGCAGGGAAGATTTCCTTGGGGGGGGGGGGGCGGTGTGTGGATGTCTAAATCTGTACTGTGTCCAGTGAATCTCAGGATTACTGAGGATTAGCCTCTGAGACCTTCCAAGAGACTGTATGCATTTTTCTGTGCCCTGCAGCAACAGTACCCAAGCATGCATCCTCTCTGGAATACCAAGGAAAACCCAGGATCAAGATATGACAGGAGGCAAGCACTGGGGTGGGGGGAGGGGCAAAGTGACCACAGTTTTGCATTGTTAATGCATGCGGACTTGGGAGATGTGACAGAGGAGAGAGATGCCCTTGCTTGGCATGGTCAGTCCAAGAATCTTTTGGTAGCTGAAGCAGCACCCCTGGTGAATGAACACAGGCTCCCCAGAAGGTCATCTTGTCCAGACCCCACACTGAAAGGATTAGGTCCTTCATGCTGTCCTCCCAAGCAAGGCCTAGGAGCCCAGGAGTTGGCTGTGTGAAGAGGCAGAGCGGGTTGGCATCTGCTGGGGATGCATCCTGCATTGAACCCATGGCCAATCCGTGGTGTTCTGTTGCTCTGTGCAAGATA